GGTGGGGGATGTTGACAAATGCATCACAGGCGAACGAACATCAGGACGAAACAAGCATAAGCGTACATCAAGTTCGTGATTTCAAACAACAACAATCACAAACAGTTTTCAAAAGCATTGAGTCATTGAAGATCATCTGCGAGTGATAATCATTGCAGAAATTTAGAAAGTACAACATTACAGGGCAACATAGCAACAACGTGAAACAGTTGCACCATAGATACACAACAATAAATGAAGCATAAATATTGAACTCAATCAAATAATGTGCGAATACAGTGTGCAATCGTCTGAAACATTGCTAGCAAAGTAGAAGGAAAACAAAAGCAATGCAAGCGCTGCAGATGTTGCGCCCATGTCTGAACAAAGAGTGCAATCCTCTGAAACATCGATGCAAAAATAAAACGAAAAAGAAACAACAATCTGCACCTACTGCACCTGTGTATGGAAAATTGTGCAGTAGTCTAACCATCTATACAAATACAAATGTGGTCATGACGAAACACTAAATATAATATACACTACACCTATGAATACATCACGTCATCCGAAGCACTAAATGTACTATACACTACTACGAAATACAGGACGAAAGAGGACTAATGGTGGGACTAAGTATCATCGTCGTCCACAATGTCCTTCCTCCTCCTCTGCGTCGCCACATCTGTGACACCGTCGCCGCCACCTGTGCCGCCTGCCGGCCTGTGCGCAGTACCCCGAGCATGAACCCCCCCCTATGGCGCCGCCTTAACCCCGTGCTGTGCTCGAAGAAGGTCGTACACGGAAGCCCTCCTCCGCTGGCCAAGAGGCATCTCCAAATCATCGGTAGTACCAGACTCCAAAACGCATGTTGTCTGTGACGGTCACTGCGCAGGCACCGTCCTCACATCTTCCCCCAATATACGCCCGGCCATGCTCCCCCCGGGGGGCGCACTGTGCTCCGCCTCCTCCCCCCTACCTGGTATGCGCCCCTCAGTACGTGGCATCGCCGCCGCAGCAGGTGTTGTCATGGGCTGCTCCGTCGCCCGGGTGGAGGCCCTCTCCCGCCAACCTACTGTGTCCACGACAACGTCCCGGGCCAATGCCTCCCGAGTCCGCGGATGTAAACCGGCCAACCTGGGCTGACTCTCCCGCATCGCATGCGTCACCCTCCTCACAGTACTGAGACTCTTGCCTGCTTTCATCTTCTTCTTCCTTGATTTGGGAGAAGGAGACTCTGCAGGTGTCGGTGAGGCAGTGGCACCCTCAGCATGTACGGAGGTCGTGCCACCAGTGGTGGACGATGGCAGTGACGGGTTGCACGACACGTAGGCTGGGCCCTCTGCCATGAACCTCCTCGACGCCTCATCCATCCGTCCGCATCGATCTGCATGCAATCGGTCCTCCCGTGCCTGCCGCTCCAACTCCCCCGTCGTCATGGCTTCACTGATAGGCAATATACAAACACCCTGAACCAGTGACGCGGGTCTCTCGCCTGCATCCCCACCGCCCGCATCGCCACACTCAAGCACTGCATCGTCCATCGCACGATGACCCTCACCACCTCCCGTCTCGAGCATCCGCTCTGCCCGTGCCCTCAACACAATACTCTGTGTCATCTCGCAACGGCTAGCCAAGTCCTGCGCCCTCTCCCTCTCCTCGCAGTCGATCCTGTACTGCTCCGACTCTGGCGCTCGCTCCTGCACAGGTCGACAATCCCTACCGTCCCCTGCTGCACACTCCTCCTGCCCCGACGAACCCTGTATCCCCGCTGCTGCCTCCTGCAACATGCTGCTACTGATGTCACCCATGCTGCATGAAGGTATATCCCGGAGTATATGACTGACGGGCGGGGCCGCTGCGTCCGCATCACCATTGCCACGCTCGCCTGCCGGTGTCAGGAAACCGTAACGAAACATCCAACATACCACTGAAACTGCCACCCAACTGCGCAAAAGCGCTGCCAACCTGTGCAGCCTCGTCAGCAACCTCTTCAAACCCGTCTGCTACCTCCTCAGACGGCGCTGCGAAATATGCAGTGGAGGGAGTGGCCTCTGCAGTGGCCTGTGCTGACGCAGCACCACCAAACTCTGCCGACCCGACGCCAACCTCTGCTGACGCGGCACCCTCATCGACCCAGTGCACAGTGCGAGTGGACGAAGCAGACTCTCGCCTCGCCCGTCCTCTGCCACCACGGCCTGCAGCCCCCGTGTCTCGTGCACCCCCCACGCCCCTGCCTGCATCATTGCCTCCCTTGCCTGCACCACTGCATCGGTCGGCACGCTGTCGACCCGACCTCCGCAAACCACCTGCAGCATGTGTACCATCGCCGCCCTCATCGTCGTCGTCGTCGTCACCACGTCCGCGTGTCGGGGAATAGGCGGGATCATCCTCGTCTTCCCTGTTGCCCTCGTACCCTCTCTGACATCGTCGTAGTCGTCGCGTCCCTCCTCAACAGTATCCCGAGTCCCCTGCTCGCCATGTCCTGGACGATCTGTAGGTGGAGGGGGATGCTGCGCAATGGCTCCAGTGGAAGCCCGACCACTCGAAGGCGGAGGTGGAGGGGGAGGGGGATGTTGCGCAGCGGCTGCAGTGGAAGCACGAGCACTCGAGGGCGGAGGTGGAGGAGGAAGGAGATGCTGCGCAGCGGCTGCAGTGGAAGCACGCGTCCGAGGATGCAACATCTCGACGAGAGGAACATTGTCACCCCCATCATCAGAACCTCCCGGCTCTGACTCCACTGCCAGGTCGTCTGGATCGGACCACGGCTCCGCCTCAATCGGGTCCTGAGCCATAGGATCAGGCTCCGGATCGTTCACGGCGTCCAACTCGGTCGGCATGAGCACCGTGGCGCGACGACCGAAATACGTCTCGACGCTGGGCGGAGCCTTTGAAAGGCGATCCTTCCGCCTGCGCTGCACTTGCCGCTCGCGCTGCGCCTCCGTGACTCGGTCAGCTGGCCGAACACCCTCGTCACGAGGCGGAGGAATACTATCCTCTGTCTCCTCCTCAGCATCCTCCCAGGGCAGAACGTACCCTGAACCCCTCCCCTAACAACGACTCAATCCCAAGTTGGTGGATATCTCCTCCAAACGAGCCAGCTTGATAAAACCAAGCTGGTTACGCTTCTTCACCTGAACACGCTCATGGACGGCCCAGTTCCTCTCCGCTGGAGAGGCACACGTCCATGTGTGTGTCAGGCGAATGGCGTAACTCTGAAGGAGAGGGACCCTGTCCCCGTGCTGAACCCACCACTGCCCCACCTGCGACGTCTCCTTCTCCCATCTGCAGGAGGCCGCGTCCCTGTCACCCTCAACCCCTTCATACGTCCAATTGCCCTCCCGGGTCAGAAACTCCGCCAACTGCGTGCGCAATGTCTGATACAACTCCTCATCTCTGCTAGTCTGCTGGCGAAGGTATCGCAGTGACTCCTCCGCGAGTGTCTTGTCGTGCTCGCTGCGCCTCGCCGCTCCAAAATACGTAATGCTCTTGTGGCGAGGGTTGAGGAGGTGGGCCATGCAATGTGCGGGCTCCAACATATGATCGACCCGCGCCTGACAAACCTGAACAACGATGTTGAGCTCCTCCGTGGACGTCTTGTTCAGTCTCGCCCTCACCACTCTGTCGACCATGGCAAGCACCCACGACCACATGCGAGTCATCACGCGCCCCCCTCTGTCCAAATGTCGCAGCAGCTGCATCACAGGCGTCATCAGCTCCACGATGTCCTCCACGTGCTCCCAGAATGGCGCGTACCGCACCTAATGACGCACCCACCTGGGCTGCAAGAAAATGGACCTCCTCCATGCAGTCTGCAACCAGTCGTCGCTGATCATCAACGACTCCAACGCTCGGCGACGATCCAACAACCTCTCCAGCATCAAGTAGTGCGTGGCAAACCTCGTCTGTGCGGGGTACACAAGCTCTCTGCCTCGCCGTTGAGACAAGGGTGGAGCAGCGCTGGAACTGGCCGCAACTGCGGAGGCATAAGAGGGGTGGGCGGCAGAGAAACGTTGGTAAAGGTTGAGAGTCGCCCCGTGCTCTCTGATGAAACGCACGACTGCTCGAGCCCTAATGATGGTGTCCTCCCTCTTCCCAAGCTTCCCGGGGGTGCCGTCCTTCGCAATGTCTGACAACAACAAGTTGCAGACATGGACCGCACACGAAAGCCAAGTAATGCGACTGTACTTGACTTCCTCCTTCACGAGGAGCTTGGATGCAGCCACATACGCGGACGCGGAATCAGTGCAAATGGCGTTGATGTTTTCGACACCGAACTTGTCGAACACGTCCTTCCATCGCACCACCACGACCTCGGCTGTCTCCTGAACAGCACCGTCACGCTGCACGGTCCTGAAAAGGTAGGCTCCCGTTGGGCCAGAAGCAAGGAAGTTGACTATCTGGTCGCTAGTGATGGACTTGCGACTATCGGTGAGGATGGTCGCTCCCGTCGCCGCAATGTCCTTGTGGACGGCCGCCACCATCTCCGCCTCAACTCGCTGCTGCTCTGGGATGCCGTCGCCGAAAATGACACGGTGCGTGGGCAACGCAGGATGTGTATACGGCGGACACTCGAGCAACCGCTTCCTCACTCAATGGTACTCCGGCCTCCACGGCGCCTCGAATGGAATGCCGCAACTGCTGCTCTCCCCTCCCTTTCCTGGATGCCATTGCACACACGCCGCACACAACTGCGCCTGCGGCCCTGCGGCCCTGCCTGACGCCCTGCGGCCCTACGGCCCTGCGACCCTGCGGCCATTCCTTAGGCGTACGGGCCGTCCGCACGGCCCGTTCCGTACGCACGCCCTGTACGTACGCTGCCCGTTCGCGCCTTGCACACACGTCGCCGCTTCACGACATCGCCGTCATCTGCGTCGTGCCCGCCATCGCCATCACCATCGTCAACGTCGTCGTCGTCTTCGTCCTCTCTCTCTCTCTCTCTCTCTCTCTC